GTAAGCTATCTCACCAAGATAATGAACAGGGGCAAAAACCCCGTGATCGTAATCCAAGGTTGTTGTTCGTGAAGCCTCCTCGTCACCAATTATCTGAAACAAATAAAAACACCGTCTAATAGAAATGTAAAGACTTCCTCGACGTAAGTTCTATCCTGTTTAATTATTGCGATAGTGTAATATGTTCCTTTGATTGCGTTGCTTCATAGCTGATATCATTTCGATCGCGAACAGTGCTGACGAAAAAATATAAGATGCCGTGGGAGCTTAACTAGCAAAACCCCGTTTCTACAAAAAAGTTTTAACACGAGAAAATCATCACCAAGATCCGGCTGCTGTCTGAGAGGGCATAGAATGGCGCACGGCCAGTGATAAACTGCATCCAGGAAACATCCAAGTCAAGATACAGGCCGGCGAGGCCGCTTCCCTTTACTCCAAAGCCACCGAATCGGAGCACTTGCAGTACACCATTGCTAAATATAACAAACGGTCGCAATCTAACAGCCAGGCTAAACAGACAGTAATGGAAATGAAAGAAAATAATCCAGAAAGCTTTCCTTTCAAAAAGACTAGTTCTGTGCAGCTTGCAACTCCCCTTTTTCCTCTGCGGTTACGTGACGGTCTTCTTTTGCTCAGTTGTCCCCATTTCCGTTCTCTCCATTTGGCCCTATATGGCTGGCACTTGGATATTGAGTACAGTGGCTCTAGAGCTTCGGTTGATTACTTAGATATAATTTTATCCGCAGATGGTGACGCCCGCATAGCCTCCTCACTCTGCTGCAAGACTGATCTTTTTACCTTCCCTTTAATAGGTACTCTTTACTTCAGAGCAACGTGCTCCCGTCTATCCATACAAGGACGAACTGCAGCCAGCTTATTAGATTTCTGCATATTGAATCTTCTCTAGAAGGATTCATTACATCAGATCGTCGCCTTCTTTGTTACTCGGTTGAAGGCTTTTCTTCCCATTACAAGTGCCGCCTACACCACATTTTCATCGACAGAAACAGATACCAATTCTCTAAATACTTCCCATCCAGTGAAGCTAACAGCCGCCGTTTACTACGCCGTTTGTCTCCAGAACCCCACTCATTTCCATTCATGCGTTTCGCGTCACGTTCTTCTTTCGCGTATTCCCTATTTTTTCCTCTCCCGCTGCATTCCTTTTTCCAGTTATGACTATGACTACCGTAAAGAGAAGCAATTTCTCTAGCCGCGACGGCTCTACAAAAAATTGTTCCGGCAGTAAAACGTGATCGAGGTTCGCCATTGATCTTATTTCAATTCCTTTTTAATTCGTCTTGAATTCTTTTTTAAGCTTTTTTAAAATCATTTTTACATTTTAAATCCCTCTTTTAAATCCTCTTCTCAGCCTTAAAGTCAAAATCCCTGCTGGTTTTTGTCGCTAGCAGCATTGTTATTCCAGCAGATGCTTCTGGCTAAAAGAACTGAGGTAGGCCACTAGGACTATCATAATACGTCCCCTTAAAATTCCAGCGTTCTGGCTTCTCTGTTTCCCGAGTTAGCAACTTACCCGGTAAAAATTTTAACAGGTGGCACGTGGGAACGATCTAGGTAAGAGCGCCCATTTTGGAGAAAGGGGCCCATACGTGTAATTGTAGATTAAGCTTTTGTCAGTTCCGAGATGAAAAATCGGTACTGGCGAACACGCAGACACACTGAGACAACCCCACGATAATATGCGCTTTTATTACGTAAATAAAAACAATCAATGGCGACGCGCATCGGGCGGGCCCGTGCGAGCATGCGTTTTTGCAGTATTTCGTGCTGCAATGAGATCGCTCGGAAACCCAGTAGCTAATAATAGGTGAAATAATAGTACTCAAAGCTCGGGAAATTAATTATTATGCGGTACTTGGACAGAGAACATTCCAATAAAACTTCGGCTTTCCAGCCTTCTTAGTTTCCGAGTTAGCCATTCTCCCGCCAAAAATTTTCATGCGGCTGTGCTTGAGAATTACGCATGCCTGGACGCTGAATTTGAAATCTTCGTGTTCTATGTGGACGGGGAACATAACTGCAAAGTTTCAGCTTTCTAGTTTTCCTGGCTCCCGAGTGAGCGATTTTCGCGCCAAAATTTTGAGGCGCTCGTACACCGCGCTTAGACGTGCATGAGGGTCGGTACCGCGGTCTTGCGATGGCTCTTGCTCGGGAAACACAGTGGCAAAATTTTGGCGCCGGAGCTTGCTTGCTTGCACGTACACACACACACACACACACACATACACACACACACACGCATATACGCACACACACCGGGGTCGTCAAAATATGCGTTTTTATGCGTGTTTGCCGTGCAGCGCTATAGCGCCGCTACAGCTAGCAAAAATGTATATTCTCGAGAGAGTGTCTGTGTGTGTGTGTTTGTGTGTGTTCGGAAGCAAGTGCATTTTGCCACTCACTTTCATCTCAGTAACCAGGAAAGCTGGGGGGCTGAAACTTTCGGTATATGCTCCTACCCCATGTGCCACCCTCCGTTCTCAAGATATTCCCCCACACGCGCCTAGACCCGCGTACAGACCCCGCAAAAATATGCAAATTTTGTTGGTGGGAAACGATTTCGCGAACCAGGCAAGGTACAAAGCTGAAACTTTGTAGGAATATTCTTCGTGCATGTGCGAGCTAAAGATTTCAAAATCAGTTGTCGCGCACGCTCGTGTGGCGCGTACGATTACATTAAATTTGGCAATTTGGTACTGTGCTAACTCGAAAACTTGCCAGAAAACAGTGGCTGAAATTTGGCGAGCACGTCTGTCGCCCAAATAGGGAGGAGTATACCTAGAATCGCCTAAATAGGAAGGAGTACACCTAGAATGAGAACAAATTTGCACTTGTGCCACGACTTAAGGCGCTTCGAAGATATTTGTAGCAAAGTGGATATTTCGCTTACCGGATAAGCTGTGAGGCTACAAATCCGCTAAGATATTTTACTTTCAAGTGCGGCCGTAATTCTACTTGAAGGTGAAATTCCCTGCAGGTGGGAATCGGAAATACTCTACTTTACCGAAAAATCAGAAACGAGTGCGTTCTGCAGCGAACATCCGCCCTTATCAAATATGTAAATGAACATTAGTTCATCTATATACTTGGATTTTTTGATAAATGAACGCTCGAGCAATACTTCCACTTTTTCGTCAACTACGCTGTAGCCTAACACTTGGGCTAATATTGGCCGTGTTTTGATCCTTACCAGCATGCAAGAGGAAGTGCATCAGTTGGGATGAAGGTGATGCATTACAGTTGGGATGAAGGTGGTGCACATTCAGGTGCATGATTACCGATTTTTTGCATGAAGTTCGATCGTTTTTTCGCTGGCTTTGTGAAAAAATGACAAATGCAAATTTCCAGTTCACTAAAAAGTGGAAGTATTGCTCGAGCTG